ACCCCCGTATTTAGACTGCAGGCACAATGAACCACCTCATGCTCCTGCCACCATGGCTTCCTTGCCATGATACACTACATCTCCCTTGGACTGGTAGTCAAAATAAGCCTTGCTTATGAAGGTTGCTTTTGTCAGGTATTTTGTTTCAGCAATGGACACAATAAAAATGTAATGCTGTCTTAGTTAGGGTTTTCCTGCTGTGAACAGACACCATGACCAAGGCAACTCTTATAAGGACAACATTTAATTGGGGCTGGCTTACAGGTTCAGAGTTCAGTCCATTATCATTATCATGAAGGCAGGAGCATGGCAGCATCCAGACAGGCATGGTGCAGGAGGAACTGAGAGTTCTACATCTTCATCTATAGGCCACCAGGAAAAAACTGGCTCCCTTGTGGTTAGGAGGAGTGTCTCATTTCCCACCCCCACAGTGACATACTTCCTACAACAAAGCCACACCTACTTCAATAAGGCCACACCTCCTTATAGTGCTACTTCTTGAGGCAAGCATATTCAAACCACCACAAATTGCACACACACCATGATTTGAATGTATATAATTCATTTGTTTACCCCTATTTTCTTTTCCTGTATTTTCTAAGGTCTTAAAAAGAAGATCATGTATGTTTATTATCAAATAGGAATGATTGACACTTATTTGTCTATGATGAGTAGGGAGGGACAATAACGAACAGTAGGGTGACCAATGCCTTGACTTGCTTGGAACTGGGAGGAAAGGTGAATTTATAGGTGAAAAAGGAAGAATGCCAGCACAGGTCTATTAGGAAACTTGTAGGGGAGCACTCCACGGATGAGTGTCTAATAGTGATGGTTCTAACAAGAAGGAAGTAGGCTCTTCTGAGATGGGGCCAGTGAGCAGGGCACAAAGTTGGACTGAATTTCTTAATATGAGCACAACCTGAGGAGTGTATATCTAAAAACTAGGAAGTCAGGTGAGTCTGGGGACCCTAGGGGGAAGCACCTGGGGACCCAAGGACCTTCAGTGTTCCTAAATTTGAGATTCTCATGAAAGAGAATCCAAGTCTCATTGGATAGGGTGCAACTCTGCCCATAGACAGATTCTGCTAGAAGTTTGGGACTCTTTCCCGACTGCCACTAGGTCCTATCAGGTCCTCTAAGTCACCTACCTCTGCAGGACGGCAAAGGGAAGTCCCACGTGGCACTGTTCTCGGAGCTGGCATGGCAGGTGAGCACTGCGTGGCCCTCCAGGAAGAAGCCGGGGTTGCAGCTGTAGCGGACCTTGTCGCCCAGGTTGAAGGTGGAGCCTTGCTGGATACCATTGGGCAGCCTCCCTGGGTTCCCACAGGTGTGGCTTGGGAGAACTGTGGAGAGAGGGGAATGTAGCTGGTGAGCTGAGTTTGAGCCTGTACATCCTAGGTCTTGGCAACTGCCCTTGGGCCAGGCCACCCGCCTAGACCTCATTTCTTCTCTGAGTGTAGCTGGCCACTACTGACCGGCTGTCCTTTCTCAGTTGCTGATTACCAGAGAATGGGTTACATCCCAGAGGTCAGAGGTTGAGGATTTTTATCGAGTATCCAGAGGGTCTGCTTGTTCATATGCAGCACTGAGTATTAGTTCCATCCATCCTCGTTACTAGAGAAGGGGCCTGCCCTCTGTGGGGTACACTAACATCTTGGGCATGGCTGCCTTAAGTAAAGAGCTCACACTAGAGTCAAAGAGTAAATTTGGCCGTTGCTCATCGCTCTGTGAACTCAGTGTCCTTTCTTTCGTGACTGCCACCCTATCTAACAGCAGAGGCATCTGTGGGTAGAGCGGGTGCAGGGGAAGCTGGACTAAGCAGAGAGGAAGGGAGACAAACTTAAATTCTCGGGTTCTCGTGAGGTCAGCCTGTGTAAAGTGGGCACTGGGAGCTGGGAACAGGCTGTACAGTATGTAACTGGAGCCCAAGCAATCAAAGCCCTTGCGTGTGTACTGTCATTATCCTGAGCAAATGGCCATCGGCGAGAGTGCAAGAGCATCGTGACCCGTCAGCCTTGGAGGGAGGATGCAGCACTTGTGTGCCCACGTGTCTCCTGTTTCCTCCAGTCCCAGCTTCCTCTCTCATGGTTGGAAAATGCCTGACCTCCAAAGGCTACCCCACCACCGCTGGAGAGCACCACAGAGCACTGACCAGAAATGTCAGCCTGACAGGATCACTGTCAGTTCTTCTCCGTGAGTCTCCAGCTTCCCCCATCCCCTTGCCAGCAATAGTTTATGAAGCCATCCCTGAGAAGCCCGAAGCAGAATAATGGGAAGAGCGCAGACTCCAGAACCTCCCTAGAGCCAAGACAAAGTCTCTTAGCTGCTCTGTCACTCACTGGTAAGTGGAGATCACAGCAGCACCTCCCTGGTAACTATTTAAACGAGCTTGGGGTCTCAAAGGGCTTATGACAAAGCCTGGCACACGCATGAGCACAAAGAAAGTGAATCAAGCATTCAGCCCCTTTCCCCCTCCCCCAGGTATGAGCGCCTTTAAAGATACACCTGGGATAGTGGGAGATGGACAAGGTAGGGAGGGGGCTCAGGATGTTTCAGACAGATGGAACAAATATGCTACAGTTCCAGAAAGCTAACATGTGGCTCAGGGGTCTTGAAGTGGCCAACTAAGAGGAAAATGAGGAGCGGCTGCGTCCCCTGGCCTCCCTAAGGCCTTTATAGCCTCTTCTTCCTGCCCACATGCTGTTGGTGCCTCTCTTCTAGACCCTCTTCACTGGACCCAAGGTTCTCCACCATCTATAAGACAGCTTTCTCCAACTTCATCTCCTCCTAACCCTTCGTTTCCTCCCTTTCTGTAAGGGCACAGCCCCATGCAGAGGGAAATGGCAGGCTTTGGAGCCATTCTAGTCTGGGTCTGAGGCCAGGTTTTCTGTCTCCTGCCTGACGTCACATAAGGCTTTTGAGCCTCATTTTCCTCACATATCCTGCGATGTGTGTGATACTGATAAAAGCTACACGTACCTACCACATCTTCTTCCTATTGGGTTTCAGGATCAGGACGACAGTGGGTGGGGTTGGCTCACATGTGTACCCTGGAGACTAACAGAGTACCTGGTACTTAAAGGGGCATCAAAGTGGGCTAATTAGTTATTTAAGCCATCTAGTCATGTATCAATTCATTTTTGCAACAAACATTTATTGTGGGCCTTCTGTGCTCAACGATTGGAGTATATCCATCCAGGTAGGTCTCCATCTTTGGAGGCCTGCTTTGGAATAATTTTAAGGAACCAAAAGTTCTTCCTACTCCATTCTCTACCCCTGACAGGTCAGATGACCCAGGTGCAAGAAACTAATTCTGCTACTGTCAGTTGGCCCTGGCTACCATTTCCCATAAGCCTCTGCTACAGCTCACTCATTTCCTATGATCAGCTGTTGCTGGCTCAGTAGATGTTTCCCACAATCCTCTGCTGGTAGCTCATGGGATGTTTCCCACAATTCTTTGCTGCTGACTCAGTTTTCCCATGATTCCCTACTGCTGACCCAGTTTTTGTTTCCTAGGGCCCTCCAAGTAGGCTCAGTTACATTTCCCATGACCCTCTACAGGTGATTTGCTGAACATTTCCCAGAATGCCCTGCTACTGGCTCAGCTGTATTTCCTATGACCACCCCCACATTGCTGGCTCACTGAGCATTTCTCATAGTCCCTTACTGCCTGTTCACCTAACTTTTCCCAAGATGCCCTGCTTTTGGCTCAGTTGCATTTCCAATCATCTCCTACTCTTAATTCACCCAGTCTTTCTCTTGGTGTCCTGCTGCTGGCTTACAGCACAAGCAATCGGTGTGTGTAAGTACTTGGAGTAGAGGGAGCCAGGTAAACATTTAGAGAAGCAAGCAAGCTAAGGTGAGGGGAGAGAACTGACTGGAAACCAGCTGAGAACTGGTGTAGAACTAACGTTTCATTTTCCGCAACAAGACGCAAAGACCCAATTTAATTAAATTACTAATGTCAAATTTTTAATGAACCTGCTTCTGCTTTGGGCTTTCTTCCTTTGAAATTAATGACTGGAACGTCACTATAAATAAAAGTTGATTCTTTTTTTAAAAAGTCACTCTCAAATGCTTACCGTTCCTTATTTAATGAGCTGTTCATAATCAGACCGCTCTGAAATGGGTCTCAACTGGGACCCAGCTGTAACGAGTGGGGCCCACTCCTCACGACACCTTTTAAAATCCCAATCACTGATCCAAAGAGGTCACGCAATGAAGGAAGAGTGCACTCACTGTCTTGAGGCTCAGTGAGGGCTGGGTTAGTATCCAGCTCCTCCATCTTTGGCAGGATGCAGAGATGCAAACTTCACCCCATGCCTCTTTGGGTCTCCATTCCTTGTTTGGAGACCGAGCAGTTTTTCCTCTTCTAAAAGCAGGCTGAGGACGTAACAAAGTAACACCAAGAGGGTACTAGCAACAACACTGTCATTGTCATCAGTGCCTATAGAGGCCAGAAGAAAGCCTTGTCGGGGTAGGGGTGGGGCTGGGGGTGCAGATTAACTTTCCTTTCTTCCTCCCACTTTTCCTGGTGCTGGCAACCTCTGGGATTCTTAGTGGGCAGATGCATCCCTCTAGTTGTCCCTGCCCATCTGAGGTCCTCCTGCTACACCTCCGTGTCATCTACTGGGCAGTGTACACCCTTGTGAATGCAACACGACATTATCTTCTGCAAAGACCATTTCCAAAGGTCACATTTGACAGGTACTGGGCACTGGGTCTTCAAAAGATTGTGGGAGATAATTTAACACATAGTAGGGCTGTCATGGAGGTTAAAATTTTATTTCTAATACCCACTGAGTACTCTGTAGGCTTCTGGGCCTGGATAACAAGTTTATTTAATGTAGCAAAGGAATCTGTAGGCCACGTGTATGTTGTCCTCACTTCACAGATGACAGTACTGAGGCAGAGAGCAGAAGCAGCTTGCTTGGCCAAGGACATGCAGCTAGCAATGGAAGAGCCTGGTTGCGAACCAGGGTCTTTCTGGCTCTGAGTTCCCTTTCTCCTGATTCCTCCAGGGACAGAAACTTCTTTAGACATTAGAGGTGACCACTTGAGAGCCCTTATTTAATACTGATTTAAAAAAATTTATTGTAACCATCCTGCACATTTGTCACTAAATAATATCAAGGGTAATGTCTGAAGTATAGTCTTTTTTGTTATGTGTCTAATGAAGGTCTTTGGACAGTCACAGATTATAGATGCTCCACAAAGAAGTCTTTCTAAGGCACAAGTTCTTAGGGTTTTTGGTTTTGTTTGTGTTTTTGTTTTGCCAATGTTGTTGCGTTCCCCATGAGTTTTTTTTTTCCGGCACAGATATTATAGTTGATCTTGCTCTTCTGTCTATAAAACTTCCCTTTGATTGCTTACAAAAATCACGAGTGGGCTATTTACATCCAACATGGCCCACACGGTATTATTAAGGCTGTGCTTGGCATTGAACTGTTCTGTTGTAGATTAGCAGTGGGGAGTTTCGCCCTCTAACAAAGCCCAGCTCTTGCCAACCAGCATAATATTCTCTGTGATTATAGGACAATGGCTCTCCTCTGTGGCTGGAATTCAGCTAGAGCTACATCATGCCAGGTTTGATTTTTAATTGGAGACTTGGGCTCTCATCATATAACGAAGAATCCCTTATGCTATCCATGCACCCTCTATATGTCTTGATGTCTTAGCTACCATCAAGTAACTAGACCAGTCCTCACGGCCATGTGACTGACTTAAAGAGGCAGGAAAGCTGGGAAAGATTTGAGACAAAGAAGTTTGTCTTCCCATAGCCACCAGTGTGTGACTAGAGGAAACCATGGCTGTGGTGAGTTTGCATCTGGCCAGGGAGAACCAGGGCCTGGGGTGAAGGATGGAAGAGATCTGATTCTGATGTCAGGACCCATGATGCTCATCGTCTTCCCAACATCTGCCGTTCTAGCGGTTAGACTTGTGAATGCAATTCACTGCATACTTACTCATGCCTTGTCTATAAGACACATTTAAAATAAATCGTCATATATGTGGTTTTCTTCTTTCCTTTCCCCCTTCTCTTTTTTTTGGGGGGGGGTTGTTTTTGTTTTGTATTGTTTTTGAGGCAGAGTCTGATGTAGCTCAGGCTGGCCTCAAATTCACTATGACACCAAGGATGGCCTTGAATTCCTGATCCCCTCTGCCTTTACCTTCGAAGTGCTAGAATTACAGGTGTGCACTGCCATTCCCAAAACTAATATATTTTCATGTATGATTTAATATGTTTACATAAACTTTGCATCAAGGATGAGATATCATCTGCAAGATGGTCAATTTGACAGTCATTGACTTATGGTGTTATCCTACTACAAAGCATACCCCC